CCTAGGATTCAGGTATGGCCTAGCTACGAGAAAACCCCTAGGATTCAGGTATGGCCCAGCTACGAGAAAACCCCTAAGATTCAGGTATAGCTTTTCTAATTTCGACCTACTTCAGTCAATCAAGAACAGCAACGCTAATATGGCTTTGTCCACCATTCATGAGTTGAATAACAGGATTTATTGTCGTTTTTATAACGTGTCTAAGTTGAAAGCGCGAAGCTTGTTCAGCAACATTGCATCTGAAGCCTCGAACCTGCAATCCGACACTCTTTATACTGGACCACGTCTGGCTTTTTATATCTATTAAGTATTTAATTGTACATTACATTTAGTATTTCCCAGTGATTAACGCTAGATGATATTTTTACTTATTGCAGGATATAGAAATATCTCGATCATTCTTATGTAAAAAAAAAAAATCGCAGGTACTTGTATCATAACTTTATCTTTCGTTAATTCTTATTGCTCGTCATCACCAACACCTAGTATTGATAAAGTGATCTACGAAGTTGCTATGGAAACACATTTATATTACTTTGATAACACTTATTCATACGTACAGTAAAATAAAGAAAAACGTTATGTAATTAGCACTTCTCGAGAAAGGTGCAGTATTTTGTTCTATATCTGAAATACTGATAAGGAATAGCTCTTAAGTACGTCGCAGCTGCCATTTGAGTTGACATGTTTAATGTTTATTCTGTCATAAGCTAGTTAGTTCACTCTGTATCTCGATTGTTCATTTTGCAGAGTTTTATTTAAAAGAAGTAGTAGAAACTTAAAATTTCTGCAAACAGCTTCGAAAATATGCTAGCAAAAGTTGTAAGACAAAAAAAAACAAATACACCCGGTAAACTGTCAGAGTTATTACATAGGGCTCTCATTTAATAAGTATACATTCAGTAAGATAAATAAACGTAATGAAATGATCTTAGTCCAAAAAAAACTATATATATGGTTGTAAATTTGCTAAACTCTGCTTCCATATATTTATTTCTTCGAGAAAAGTAATTTCTTTACGTTCATTAAGATCAAGTAGGATTACAATAATTATGATAAAATTAAAAGCATAGTTTCGACGGTCTATTTATATGTATATGTACACACACATTGGCATAAATTTTAGGCTTTCCTTTTGTTTGAAATGTTGAAAACAGAGCTAATATGATAGTGCAGTTGTTATCTGTCGTAAAGTTTTCTACGTCATACAAAAATATCTCAGATTTTTCTTCTCGATTAATTTATAACTTCTTTTCTACAGAAAACTTTACAGTGTAACCTGAGTCGCGGCCATATTTGTACTTTCAGATAACGACGGTAGGACGTTGAAAACTTTAATGTTTTGTTAGTCAAATATGTATAAGCCTACTTTATTAAATATTGATATTCTTGTACATTTTCGGATATTTAGGTACTTCTAATTATTTTATTTTAATCGTTTGGGGTACTTCCGTAATGAAAATATGATACAGGTTTTAAAATAGTCGAACTGTGTTAAA